AGTCACCATCCCTGGAGGGGGTCAAGAAACGTGTGGATGTGGTGCTTCAGGACGTGGGTTAGTGGGTTGGGTGGTGCTGGGTTGACGGTTGGACTTGATGATCCTTGAGGTCTTTTCCAGCCTTAATGATTCTGTGATTCTATGATTCTATTAAATGTACAAAAGCAAAATGTGGAAGAGTGAAGAGTGGGATTGCAGGGGTGCAAAGGGCCAAAGAGGCTAAAAGCAAGTCAAGATGGACAAGGGGGTTGTGAGCAACTGGCCACCAACATCAGAGGGAAGAGGTGGTGCAGATGTCACAGGGAAGGTGTGCCTGAAGAGCGTGACAGGGGAAGCGTCTGCCTGTTGGTGGTCTCAGGGATGATGTCTCCCTGCATCAGGCAGGGTGGTGGAGATACGTGTAGCTCCCAACAGCTGCTAAGCAGAGAGGACACGTCCCACATGTGAAAAATGGAATTTTATTTGAGACAAGTTGGGGGTAGGCAGCTTCCCCTCAGAGACAAACATACCCAAAAGTGCCTGAAAAATACCTGCTATCTTGTAACTTGGGGTTTTTTTCTTGTAACTTCCAAGTTTTTGGGGTATCTGATTCCTGGCTTTACAAGTACTTGGGTTCATAATACTAAAAAATTAAGTTACTAAAATGTCTCAAGTATGGACTGTGGAAAAGATGTGATCCCTCATTAGAGATGTTCCCTTGTCAGTTAGGTTTGAAAGAAAGGAGAGATGGACTTTAAATATGGTGTTTTCCTCCGGTAGCTCTTCCTGTACCATGCTGTGTTGTCTTTGCACACCTCCAACCCAGCGACTTCCTTGGTGTGAGAACAGAAAGGAGGTGTGCTGAGTCAGCAATGATCCAGTCATCCTGATTTCTGATTTCAATTTCCAGCCTGTATTTATAGATTCAATTTTTTTTCCTTTGGTTTTTTTGAGATTTGATAATTTGAAAGGTAGAGCAGGTTGGTCAGGACCTTATCCAGTTGAGTTTTGAAAATCTCTGAGGACAGAGATGCTGCAGCCTCACTGGGAACCTGTTCCAGTCCTTCATCATCCTCACAAGGAAGAATTTCTTCCTAATGTCCCATCAAGATTTCCCTGGCTGCAGCTTGTGCGCACTGAGCACCTCTGAGAGGAGTCAGTCTCTGTCTTTTTTATCACCTCTCTTCTGTGAGTGCAAGACTTGCAGTTAGATTTTCCCTTTTGCCTTCTCTTCTCCAGCCTAATTCCCTTGGCCTCTCCTCTGGCCATGGTAGCACAACGCTGCTGGACCTCGTTTGTGCATGTCTCTCTTATCCTGGGGATGCGGAGATGGGGAGCGGAGGAAGTACTGCAGATGTCACCACGCCAGCGAGAGCAGAGTACCCACTTCCCACGACGTGCTGGCTCCAGTTTTGCCCGTGATTAGGATTCTGCTGAGTTCCGCCTCATGGCGCTCTTAATACCTTTAGTAAAAAGTAAAATCCACAACTACAGTAGGTCTCAAGGGGAGATCAATGACATTGTCGATGTCTTAGGTCTCTGCAATAGCAAAGAATTGGTTGAATAAATTTTCCAGATGATTGTAGGATAGCCCATGCCCCATGCTACAGAGGAGGAGAGAACTATCCCAGCTTTCTTTAGGATGACCATCTAACTACTAGTAGTAGTAATTCTCAATGAGTTGACCTAGAGAGAGAGGTCTGCTCCTCCACGGATCTGACGTCTGACATGGGTTCAACTATGAGCAAGACACTGCAACCAGTTAGCTCCCCGACGTCCATTTCCCTGCATGCATCGGCGTGCCCTGCCCGTGACAGTGAATGGAACATGCTCTTAAAAACGTGATGCAGGGCGAGAACCAGGCATCCCTGTACCTTCTCTGATGCCCTTTCTCTTCTTCCCATATTTAAGTGGGCTCAGGGATTCAGTTTGTATCCATAAGCTTATCTTTAAAATAGCCTGACTTCAGAGAACTTCTAGATAGACTTTTACCACCTGTTTTCACTTAGATCATCTTCTTTGGAAGCTGAATTGCTGGCTGGATTTTAGGGGTATTTTCCCGCTGTTAACCTTTTTCTTTTCCCCATGTTTTGGGGTAAGTGGGGTGTCAGAGCTCCCATTTGCATCCATATGCTTGTTCGTAAAATAAAATTCATCTCTCAGTAGTGGAATTTCTTGTGTGGATGGCGTGCTGGCTTGGGATCATCAAAGACCTAACCTCAGAGCTCCGCTGCCATCCGTTTCCTTTTCATCAGACACGTCAAATATTCTGACAGCAGCTTCCAAGGAATAAGAGAGTTCGGTTGAAACGGTGGAGAACAATCTGTTGATTGAGATGGTGCCCCTTTATTTTTTTAAAATTATTATTTACTGACTGTTGAACTTTGGTAGAAATCGCAGAAAACTAAGCCGGAAAGTGGACACGCTGTAGACAGCAGCCGTGGTGTCTGTCACTGGCTGCTGAGGGATTGATCCCATTGTGCTGGTTTGATGCAATAACTTTTAATAACTGCACAAGTCACGGGGTTCCTTGAGATGTACGGGAAGGGCTGTTGCCCCTTCCCATTCCATTCCATGGTTCTGTTTAAAGAGCAGCTCTTTGGTCTTACCAAACCACGCAACTGGAACCAGAAGGAGAAAGCTGTGTTTAATATAGGGTTCTTTTTCTTCCTTCCCAGTCAAATCTCTACCCGACAGTGGGTCTCCAGACTCCAGGAGAGATAGTCGATGCCAACTTTGGGCAGCAGCCGTTTGTCTTCGACATTGAGGACTACATGAGGGAGTGGCGAGCGAAGATTCAGAGCACCATTAAGCGCTTTCCCATAGGAGACAGACTAGGCGAGTGGCAAGCCATGCTGCAGAAGTAAGTCACTGTTGTGGTGTTCAGCCTCTTTTGTTCTCTTAAGCTTTAAATACTTTTTTTAAATGCTCTTTATGCTTTCTTATGTCAAAAATTGCCAGTCAGTGCACTTTGCTCCAATTGTTTTACCCTCTGTTTTGTTGTTGAATAGTCTTTCCTCTGTGGATTGCTGCTGTTTCAAATGTTAAAGGTATGGGAGAAGTTTGCAGCCAAAGCCTGCATGAAAGCCTGTAGGAATGGAGGTGATGCACTGGGGGAAGGGGAGTGGAGAGGACACCATAAAAACTCTAACAGAGGAGAAAAGCCAGGACGTAAGTCAGATGAATTCAGAAATGAAAGAGCAAGAAATAGCCTAAGCCAAAGGCTACCAAACCCAGCCGAACTGCAAACACAACTGTCACACTTCATAAATTTATGATTAGCAAATGCATTTCCCATGGCAAAAAGGATGGACTGGAACTTGGTGAGAATGGTGAACAAGAGTTGTAAGAGGTCAGGAGTATCTTCTTCCTGAAGAAGAATGGTTGACTAGGGCTCCACAGCTCGGCCAGAGGTGATTGAGGGAGATGGACTGTAGTTGGCTGTTAGTCATTGACACCATGAAGAGCACAACTAGAAAGTGATTATTTTCTTGTTTCTCAAAGCACGAGAATCAGAGAAAAAGCACCTTTTGGCTTAAAAAAAAAAAAAAAAATTCACTAAGTATCTGAAACTGTGGGACTTGCTGCTACAAGCCATTGTGGTGGTTTAAGTGGATTTGAAAAGATACACATTTAAATAGTTACAGTAATTCATGGAGGCCAGCTCCATAGTTATATTTTAAACCTTCAGGTCTATGGCTGTTGCTTCTGTCTCTGTTTACTGATAGCTCCATGTTTCACCTTTTTGTTTTATTCTTTTCCAACCTCGTACTGGTCACTGTATCCCAGAGGCTTAGACGCAGTGATAATCGCATGCATGGGACCACTCTTGTTTTCTGCCAGCCTTGTATCTAGTTATTTGCAGATGATTCAGGCCAACCAGCAAAGCTTTTAAAAACACCTAGCAGAAGCTGTTGAAAACAGTAACAATATGTTTAAAAACAACGGAGTTTTTCTCCAAACTGCCTTGGTTCAGGAGGAGGGGAGGATGGTGGGCATGGTGCCATGGTTCCCAAAGAGCTTCAGAAGAGTCAGGCAGCGATGTGCTGAAAGGACCTGGATGTCTGGCTTGGACAAATCCATAGGAGCACTGCTAAAGGGTAGACGCGTCAGGCATGTGGAGAAATAGCACGTGGCTTTGGTGAAGGTGAGCCAGCAGGCACGTTGGTATGGTTCCTGGGCTGCCATCTTTGTCTTGGAAGTCCTTGAGAAGTTCCCTTTGCTGCAGACGAAGGGGGGTCTATGCAGCCAGCAGCCTGATGGGGATTATGGATTGTTTAAAAGAGAGACAAGAGAAGGAATGAGTGAGGGAGGAATTGTCACTGTTGGAGGATGCAGCTGTAGGGTTGCACGTGGAGGTGTGCTGGTGGCATCTGTGCTGCTGAGGATGTTCAGAAACGATGGGCAAGAAGGGACCCTCCGGGAAGGAATGAGGTCTTTGCGCTATGATGCATCATTGCACGGAAATGTCAGCTCATTGCTTTTGGTAACAAGCAGGGGAAAAAAATGCTAGGATTTGTTACAGGAAAAATGGAGGACAAAAATCATTCTGTCACTGTGTGAATATATGGTGCACCCTTAACATGAATACGATGGGATGTTTCAGTTCTTTCCTCTCAAAAAGTATGTAGTAGAAGTGAGAAAAGCATGGGAAAAAGCAGACAAGATATGCAAAGGTATGGGGTGGGTGTAAGGCGAGGGACAACTATACAGACCCCCGGTATTGAAGGATATGATTGTGAGGGGTAAAGCAGAAGTGTGAAAAAATATCTTGAATAGCCTGGGCAAGGTAACGAAGGAACAATTGTAAGAATTAAAGGACATCAAGTGAAGTTGACCAGACGGCACATTTAGAAAAAATAAAGGAGATTTTTTTTCCACACACTCTGCCGTAAGATGTCATTTCATATATGCCATGTTCCTCTGTGTTTGCTTTTGCTGGTTGGGAGGCACACCTACTGGACCAACTGGATGTTTAGTCTGACCCATCATGGATGAGACTTAACAACTGGCACTGACTTTCACATTGATTTGCGTTCTGGTGTACTGGATTGTTGACTTTATGAGGTCATTTCACTCTCTGTAGTGCATCTTGTCAGGCTGCGGAAAGACAGGGTCCGCTTTTGGAAAGCTTGGGCAGCAGCCAAAGAGAATGAAGAGGTTCACTGGTATTTAAATGGAAATATTTAGTTCCTAGCGCTCAAAAGGCAACTTGTTCAGAAAAAGGTCTATGCCCTGCATCTTTGAAGATAAAAGCACCTGCACTGGGTGAGAGCACTGGTCCATCAAGCTTAGTTTTATAAATATGTTAACAGCAGGTTCCTAGAGCACTCAAGTGTTTTTTCCTTTCCCTGGTTAAAAATGACCATTTTTTGCCACCCTATTATTTGACTGGGTATTTAGCCATGTTGGACCTTTCCTTTTATCATGTGGTAACACAATTTCTTTGAGAGGCTTTGCTGAAAGACTGTGTGAAATATCTTTGCACAACCAAGTGGACTGCAAACGTATCTCTCTTCTGCCTGCTTCCAGGCTCCCCCAAAAATCATAGAACCATTAAGGCTGGAAAAGACCTCAAGGATCAAGTCCAACCATCAACCCAACACCCCCCAACCCACTAACCCATGTCCCGAAGCACCACATCGACACGTTTCTTGACCCCCTCCAGGGATGGTGACTCCACCACTGCCCTGGGCAGCCTGTTCCAATGCCTGATCACTCTTTCAGGGAAGAAATTTTTCCTAATATCCAGCCTAAACCTCCCCTGGTGCAACTTGAGGCCGTTTCCTCTTGTCCCATCACTTGTTCCTTTAGAGCAGAGCCCAGCACCCCCCTCACTGCACCCTCCTTTCAGGCAGTTGTAGAGAGTGATGAGGTCTCCTCTCAACCTCTTCTCCAGACTAACCAACCCCAACTCCCTCAGCCGCTCCTCGTCAGCCCTGTGCTCCAGACCCTTCTCTAGCTTCGTTGCCCTTCTCTGGACCTGCTCCAGCCCCTCAATGTCCTTCTTGTGGTGAGGGGCCCAAAACTGACCCCAGGATTCAAGGTGCGGCCTCACCAGTGCCGAGTACAGGGGCACAATCCTGCCCTAGTCCTGCTGGCCATACTATTGCTGATGCAGGCCAGGATGCCGTTGGCCTTCTTGGCCACCTGGGCACACTGCTGGCTCAACAGTGGGCTCCGTGCACCACACATAATGAATGAAGCAGGAGGGTGCAGCCTTGTTCGTTTGAGCATTGAAGTGGTACCGTGCAGAAGGAGGAGAACTTAATGTAATTGGTACAGAGAGGCGTGCAGTCGAGTTCTGTTTGGAAGAAGAAGATCCACAGATGGTAGAAGCCTCCCTCCCACCACCATGACGGCCCGAGGTGAGCCCCTGCATGCAGCACAGAGATCTGAGAACTTCTGCTCTCAACCACAATCAACCGTGGCTCCCGGCAGTAAAAGCGATTCCTTTGGAGAACCGGGGATTCTGAAAAGTTTTGTTTGCATGAACATATGTGATGGGTTTGCCCTTGGCTGGGGCCAAACCACACACCCACTCACCCAGTTCCACCCCCACCCAGGGATAGGGGAGAGAATTAAAGGGGTAAAGGGAAAAAAAGGACTCGTGGGTTGAGATAAGAACAATTTAATAACTAAACTACAAGAGTATTGAAAACAATACTATATACAAATATACGAATGAGTGACACACAGTGACACTGCCCCCCCACCCGATGACCAAGGCTCAGCCTGTTCCCAGATAACGATCCCAGAGCAGGGAGAGTCCCAAAACCGCACTCACGGAACGGAGAGAACAGTCCGAGCGTCCCAGACCCAGAGCTGACCGGGGTGTGGGGGGAAAGGCCTTGGGAGAGCGACCACCTGGAGCGAGATGACCCAGAACAAAAGAGATCCGGAACCAGACTGGAGGGTCCTCACCTCTATACTGGGCATGACGCGTATGTTATGGAATAGATTATTGGCCACTCTGGGTCTCGATCTTGAACCTAAGATCAAATCCTGGGCTGGTAACTGGGGCTGTGCTCCCTCCCAGCTTCTCCTGTTTGCAGACAGCCAGAGAAGCTGAAAGACCTTGGCAGCCGCGTAAACATCACTGTTATCAGCTTTCTTCTGAGAACAAATCCCAAACACAGCCTCTTGCTCGCTATTGTGAAGAAAGTTAACTCTGTCTCTGCTTAACCCAGGACACCAGGTCACGTAGGTCCCAGTGGAGTGCGATAATGTCCCCCCACAACTCCAGGAGAGGTGCCCCTGGATGCCGCAGTGCTGCTGTAGTAGGGAGCTGAGGCACAGAGCTGAGACGTCATTGCTGAAAATCATCCTGGCACGGTGACCAGCGTGCAACGCTGCTATGTCCCCACGCAGGGACACTCCCGTGGGGCCACGGGCAGAAGTGGCATGGGGAGGAGCTTTGTAGAGCATTTCAGTCTTTGCAGCATTGAGCCTCTGACACTGGCTACAGAATTCCACTGAAGCAAGAGTTGGCTTTTCCTATCCTGCCAGCCCGGATCCAGCGTTCCAGCCTGGCTGAGCCAGGGCCCCCCGGCTGCTGTGTTCGACAGGGAGAGATGTGCTTTGTTCCTCCTGGCTGTGCCACGCCAAGGGCATGGCTTGCACCAACTGTGGCCAGAAGCACTTGTTTTTAAAATACGTTTTAAACATGACACACCTGCTTACAATGTCACATCTGCAAATTGTTGCTGACTCATAAAATACTTCTTTCTTGTACTGAAAGTAGCTAAGTTGGATGCATGTTTTGAGCTGTGACTTGGACAGATTAACACCAGCTTCATCATGAGAAGCCTATTTTGAGATTCATCACTAGGAGCTCTGAAATCCTCTGCTGGCTTTTTAGGCTTTGTGAAATTCTGGTGAGCGTTAACATTTACCCATCATGTCCTGGGAAGGCCCAAATGCTTTAGAAATCATCTGTTCAGAAAGATGGTTTTGTTGTATTTCTTTTCTGACAGTGATGCTACCCCCTCATCCCCCTCCTGCAACATTTTTTGAAAATACAACTTTAAAATGTGTGAATGTTTATAAAGTCAATGCTGACGGTCTAGTCTTTGTAAATGAGCAGATAAGAGTGTCTGTGAATGTGTAGAGTTCATAAGGAGATTCAACTCTCAAAGACATAATTGCTGGCAAAATAAGTGATGGAAGAAATTCAGGACCCGCACCTTTTTTTTTTTTTTTTTTTGAGATCTACTTGAAAGCCATGAGCCTCTCTGAGGTTCAGATTTTATATCTCTATAGGATGTCCCTGGCAGTAACAGTGGCTGAGCCTTGGGCAGCAGTAATGAAATAAATTGGGAGCCATGTTTTGGGTTTTTTTTCTTTGTTTGTGGATGTTTTGTGGTTTGTTTTTTTTTTTTTTCCTGAAGAGGAATTTAGAGTCTCCCTTCTGATTGCTGAGGACCAGTAAATTTACTCTGTCTGGACCCAGAAGTAGGACCCTGGTTGTGTCCACTGAAATTGCAATTTTTGTTGTGTTGATTTTTTTTTTCTCCGGTTTGATTGCCCTGTTTTACCAACACCTCTTCATCTGTTTATGTTTTCTTGTTTTCTAGTATGGTTTCTTCCTATTTGGTTCATCATGGGTACTGTTCGACAGCAACTGCCTTTGCCAGAGTCACAGACACCACAATCCAGGAAGAACAGACCTCAATAAAGAATAGACAAAGTAAGTCTCTTGCGTAGTTGTCCCCAAAGTCTGTCATGCTGGCCACGTGTAACTGGGTTGCCCAGAGAAGCTGTGGATGCCCCATCCCTGGAGGGGTTCAAGGCCAGGCTGGATGAGGCTTTGGGCAACCTGGGCTGGTGGGAGGTGTCCCTGCCCGTGGCAGGGGGTGGCACTGGATGGGCTTTAAGGTCCCTTCCGGCCCAAACTGTTCTGTGATTCGATGATCTTCAGGACTGTGCAGAGAAGATGAAGTGCTGTAGAAGTAGGAGAGTTACTCCACGACAGTACAAAGCTGTCTACAGCATACTGCTGGCTTGGGTTGCTGTGTGTGGGTCAGTACATCTTGGGGACCAATTCTTGGAGCACTTTTCCCATCGTCAGTGTGTCCCCTTCACCCTCTGCTGTCTTTTCCTGAAGAACTGCCCTGTTCTTTCCATTGCCTAGCTGCTCTGAGAAAGGACCTGCATGTGTTGAGGAGAGTTACATTTTCTGGTAGGCTTGGTTCATTTTCCTCTGTCTTGTTGCAATTGAATAGCTGAATCCTGGAAGAGGTGAGGTGACTCTCAGCTTTGAGTCCAGCAGTCTCACATGTCCCCAGGGCAGAAGGTGTGTTCTTGAAGGTAGTACCGAATTGGGGAAGAAAGGAGCTGGTTACCTTGGACTTTACCTGAACCGAGGTCACTGTACACCAGAGGTCCCTTTGGATTTGGGGTCTTCCATGCAGTCTGTCAGCAGCCGCAGTTTAATTAGCATGGGCATAGGGACCCAGGCACATCGATCTATTTTGACTACAGCTTCCAGAGTTAATGAGTCTTCCAGTCCCTTTGCACATTTTGTCTTCAGGGAAATGTTTTTGCATACTGAGGGTTTTGTAAATTCGCAGCCAACATCTTTGTCTCACACTAGGTGAAGAATTTGTATTCTGTGTGTGTTTTGGTCACTGCTGTTTGCTCCCAGGCGGTTCATCTCTCAGTTGGTCGGGCTGTAAGTGCTTCTGGTTCCTGCAGAATAATCATAGAATCACAGAATCATGAAGGTTGGAAAAGACCTCCAGGATCATCAAGTCCAACCGTCAACCCAGCACCACCCAACCCACTAACCCATGTCCCCAAGCACCACATCTACACGTTTCTTGAACCCCTCCATGGATGGTGACTCCACCACTGCCCTGGGCAGCCTGTTCCAATGCCTGAGCACTCTTGCAGTGAAGAAATTTTTTCTAATATCCAGCCTAAACCTCCCCTGGTGCAATTTGAGGCCGTTTCCTCCTGTCCCATCACTTGTTCCTTTAGAGAAGAGGCCAGCACCCACCTCACTGCACCCTCATTTTTTTAGATAGTTGTAGAGAGTGAATAAGGCTTGCAGCTTTCTCCTGCTGACCATTTCGGGTTTCGTTTTCCTATTCTCAAGCTTAGCCCGCAGAGTCACAGAACACTGGCGTGTTTTCTGCGTTCTCCTACCTGTTGAATACACACTGCGTCCTGCTCTGTGCATTTCCCTTCCCTTTGTCAACCGGTTCTCACATGACATCCATCAGGTGCATCGTCCCCTTTGTAGCTCGCTCTCCATACACTACATACGCTTAGCCAGCGTTTGGGGTCACCTGGAGACTCTGCTTCCTACCCAGAATAGCTGCTGCCCGTTAGTGCTGACCGGCTCTGTGCTTCCCAGGACACGCGTGACGCAGCCCTGGCCCCCGCCAGCGGTCGTGCTGGTGTGGGATTCACTGGTACAGCCTCCGGGAGGCACGTGGGACAGTGCGGGCTTGTTTGGACAGGCGACGGGCAGATGGAGGGAAGGAATAGAGAGCTGTGAAGTTGGTGTGAGGAAAACACAGATGGGAAAACAAAGAGAAGGGAAAATAGAAAAGGCGGTGACATCTGTGAGAGCTGCCAAACGAGGCGAAGAAGAGAACTGTCAAAAGCAGCGAGATGTGAAAACAGACGTGCGAGGACCTAGAATGTGAAACTGAGGGCGAAATGAAGGAGGCTGTGGTGTGAGAGCTGCGTCCTTGGGCTTAGCTTTCCGCTGGGATAACAAGCAAATAGACACTGAGAAGTGGAAGCCAAGACAAGTCGCTGCAGATTCTTACTGGGGATTGCTAGTGGGGGTCACTGTCTGGGCCTCCAACGGCTCCGGACTTGGGAATGCCTGTTGGTATTAGAGCCTCTGCTTGCAGAGCACCTCGCGGTGATTCAGAACCTCCTCTCTATTGTCTGTAAGGAGTCCTGGAGAAACAGAGAGGGAAGTCCAAGGCATTTTGAGTTGTCAGTACACGTAGTGTGTGAACCTCTGCACATCAGCGGCTTCCCTGGGTGTTGTGGGATCGGATCAGTGACTGTTGAGTCTTGAACTTGTGCCTTCTGGCCCACTGAAGGAATGTACCTGGGACTTGAACACCCAGGATGACAGATGGCTTCTGCCTCATATCTTTGCACCTCCTGGAAATGTACAGCTTGTTGAGTTTTTTTCTAGCTTAGTCCGAGGCTGATTCCTGGAGCTGGCTGCCAGGTGCCACATCCTCATTGCAGGTCCAGCTCAGGTTACTTCTCTGGGAATATATTGAGGTGGTACTTGCAGGAACCCGGTTTTGGTGGTACAATTACTTCTGCTTTGAGGTGGGGACAGTGGGGAAGCCGTGCTGTGCTGTGGTTCAAGCCCACAGACCCTCTAAGAATACTCTGCTCATCTGGTGCTCAGCCATACAGTAACCTTCCGAACATGAACCAGCCAGAGGATAGAACGTGGAGGTGACCTAGGTGACCCTCTGAAATTGTAATTTCCCCATCAGCCTCCTTGCTCCTGTCCCATTGTCATGTCCTGCTTTCTCTTCCATTGCCGCATAGCTCTGTGGCGAAAGGACCGAAGTCCCAGCACACCCCACGCCAGCACACCGGCTTCATCTTTCAGATCCCTCTACTCATGGTGTTTGTGAGCGACGGACAGATTCCCTCTCCTTTTCCCAGGCTTTTCCTCATCCTAATCCATAATAAACAGAGCATGGGCTGCAGTTCTCGCCAGCCCCTGTGCAGGGTGGCAGTGGGGCGCTGCGTGGCACGGTCAGCCATCTCTTCTGGCCCTTCTTGTTGGCCGTTACTGTGTGTCAATAGGTCTCCTTCTGCTTACAGGAATACAGAAGCTAGTATTAGCAGGCAGAGTGGGAGAGGCTATAGAAGCCACCCAGCAGCTCTATCCTGGCCTCCTAGAACATAACCCCAACCTGCTCTTCATGTTAAAGTAAGTATGAATAGCTTTATACTCCCTAATGCTGGCATGTGTCGATGAAGGAGGGAGGACAGAGGCTGTCCAGCCATCCCAGCTGGCTGCACACCTTGGGCTGGGTTCAAACTGGTGGAGATCCCTTTGGGAGCAGGTGGGGGAGGACATGGATTCAGTCCTTTGCACGGTGCTTGTAGCAATGCAGACGTCGCCCTTTTGGTGCTGCTCACACCCAGTTGGGCTTTGCCTCGTGAGGTCAGGCAGAGGTGGGTCTTCCCAGCCTTCTGAGACGTGGAAGGACAGTTCACAGTAAAGCTAAGTGGGGAGCTGTCCTCACTGTCACTGCGGGTGTTGTATTTTTTACCTTTCCTTGTCTATTCGCCATTGGCCACCAGCATTTTTAGGTTGATGGAGTAGTGGGGGAACTATGATGTTTGGTGGATTTAGTATCTTCTCTCTGAAAAAAAACCCTTCCCAGCTGAATTTTGGAGTACCTGCAGAGGTGAAAGCATGCTGTAAGGGAACAGTTTCTTCTTAGCACAGTGGAAATAAACTCACTTTTTGGAAATGTCTCAACATTCATTAGCATCAAAGTTGCAGCTTCTGAACTCCTTTCTCCCCTAGTATTATTTCTCACAATACAAAGGTACCAGGAGTCTGAAATGTCTTTTTCAAAGCCAAGAAATTTAGCTCAGAAAACCTCAATGCGGAGCATCTTGGCTGTCACGCACCCTTTTCTCCTTCTTCCCTCCTATGAAACCAGGTGTCGGCAGTTTGTGGAGATGGTGAATGGGACAGACAGTGAAGTACGTTGTTTCAGCGCCCGCAGCCCCCGATCCCAGGACAGTTACCCCGGGTCCCCCAGCTTAAGTCCTAGACATGGATCAAGCAACTCACACGTTCATAGTACTGGTAAGTGTGTTTTCTCTCTCTCCTGGTGAGAAGAGCAAATGTTAAGGGTTGATTGCTGTCCATATCCTGATGCTTTCTGTCCGTTATTCTGTGAAATGCTCGTTTCTTTTCCAATACCTAGCTGAGTGGAGATGCTGTTGTTGTGGGTGTCTCTATACTGTTACAAAGTCGGTTTTGCATTAGTTGTTTTCCCCAGACAATTGTCTGCAGAGCAGATTTTTTTCAGAATAAACTCTTGAAGGTGGCCTTCTAGTGCAGGCACTAGTGACTCAGTGTCACTGACCAAGCTGGAAGAGGAGGGTTGGAAGACAAAGCCTGTTTCCTGGAGTCTGTAAAAGTATTGCTTTCCAGTAAAGCCTGAGCAGAAGGTGCACTGTTCTGGCCAACTGAGTGAAAAGATTAGAGGGATGCCTTGCGTGAGAGCTTCTCCCTCCTCCATGGGCTCTGCCGTGCAAGCTCTAAACACGTGAGAAGGGAGCAGTTCTGTACCTGCAAACCCCATCTCTGAAGCATCAACTTTGTGCAGTTTAGGAAATTAAACTTTAGGATTTGTGGAAAGAACAAGATAAACCAGGACGCCCAAGATATCTTCTCTGAGTAATTATTGACTACGTCTTTGAAGATGGACTGGGCCAGGGAACACGACCTGCAGAGCCCCCAGAAACACTCTGAGCTGCTTCACCGAGCCTTGAACTGCTCACAGCCACCTGAGGGGGTTTTGTTTCGGTGTTCCTGCTGCTGCGTGTGACAAACTGTGGACAGGCAAACATTTAAGGGAAAGGAAGACCGTTACTTGAATGCCTCCAAGCTGTCACTCACCTTCCCAAACCAGTATCTTTGTTTCCTGTATCACATAGAATCATAGACTCATTAAGGCTGGAAAAGACCTCAAGGATCATCAAGTCCAACCGTCAACCCAACACCACCCAACCCACTAACCCATGTCCCGAAGCACCACATCTACATTGCAAGAAGCTCTGGGGATGTTTCCCTGGGTGGGTAGCCAGAACGCTCACATCAGGCCATCAGAGCTCATGTTAGTACCTGTTTTCAGCCAGGAGATGCCGATGTAAAAAAAAACCACAATGTAAGGCAGCATTCATATATATTTGTCTCCGTACTTGGGACACCGCCTTCCACGGTTCTCTTTGTTAGACCTCGTGCTTTCAAAATATTGAGAATTTCATCAGCGAGTGTTTCAAAGATGAAGCAGAGCTGTTGTACACATTCCACGGCATCTTTGTCATTAAAATGCACAAAACGGCCTTTTGTTTGGGTCTTTCTGTCATTATGGTAGAAAATATTACTCAATTCCTTAGCTGTAAATATAATTGTGGGATCAGCTGATGAATTTGGATATATCGCCATCACTTCAGAAGGAGCAGCTGTGCCAGGTCACATCCTGTAGCCAAGATCCCGCGGTCAGTATTGGTTGCCTAGGGAAGAACGTAGGGAGAAGACAAGTCCATAGTGAGGCTTTTCCAAAATATTCCTTATATTCCAAAATATTATTTATGTATTACTAATAATATAGAAATATTCCAAAA